TTTATCAAGATAATAAACTAATTAACATAAGCAACTGAATGCTCAATTTCGTGTTCTTTTTTTTTCATCCATGATCTGACGAAATTGTTCTCATGTTCTGGTTCATGTTCTTATTTCTTATCACATGTAAGGATTTTTGAGATTAACAGTAATAAAAACATTAACACTAATAAAGGTGTATCAATTAGTAAGCAGAAAATATGAAACTATTGGGTAATCAAGTAATATTTTACTGGGCATGATTTGATGGGAAATTTAGTCAGATCAAGGATGACAAAATGTAGTATAAAGGGATTGTAAAGAGGTTTTCTAAACTTTTGACCCCGATATACATAAAAATAAAAATAAAAAACCTCTTTACACGAAACAAAACACCGTCATCAGATGGTCACAATAGTTATAAATGAAAAAGCGACCGTAATGAAAAAGCGCTCCCTGTCAATGGAACAGCCAACTTTAACACTTCCTGCTTATCAATTGTTTCAATGGGTCTATATTGAGGAATTCGAACCCTGCATCCAACGACACGTACATCATTTAATTATAAATAGTAACATGTTTTGTTGCATTGGGTTATTTTAAGATGTTATCACGGAGAATGTTTTGGTTTCTATTTCCTAGGGGTAATTATTGTTTGGCTGAACCCCAAACCTTGTTTCTAACACCACATGTTTTCTCATCAACAATTACTAATGATTTCGCAAGTTTACATTTACTGGAATCCGTACACGATAGAAGAAATAACCTATGCACGAGTCCATTTATCTTACAATTAGATGGATTAACAAGTATCACAATTTTTAATTTGTGGTTTTATGAGATCTCGTAAGAAAAAAGTTTTCTCTGGCTTGATTTTGAAAGACAATAAAACAGAAGCTTTCTTAAAAAATGCGGATTGTAAGAAACTGCATCGCTGATCTAGAGACAGAATAGAAGAAAAAATGATTTTAGAATAAAGGAATATTGCGCATATTTTGTACAGCGAAAATTTTTTGAGCACAAATTTGCGAAAACTATACACCAAAATGTAAACAAACGTATCTGAAAGTTTTAACTAACAAATCCAGCCATTAATTTTTTAAAGCCAAAACTATTTAATAAGTTTACGTAAGGTTTCGTTATGCTTTTAGGAAACCTGTTGCGTGTTAAAACTGTTGATTATAGGAGAATATGGTAATAATTGCTCATATAACTTAATTCCAATTCAAACTACATTGTGTAACACAGGAGCGATTTCCCACTTGAACTAATACAGACGTATCTATTTACTTTAAAATTGTACAGGAAACTATATAAATTTACTAAACTTAATGGAATATTTGAAATGAGTCATAAGATTTATGATAGATTTACACCTACAGCTCAGCATCTGGATACAGTCGATAGGGAAGTAGCTTAATGGTAATCATATGTACAAAGACTATATATATGAAATGTTGATTGTACACTTTGGAATGTTCTGTTGTTTCATCTTCAATAAATCTTTTTAATTAAAGGAAAATAAAATGTAGGTCAAATATATAATTGTAATTTATTGAGGAAACGTCTGTCATGGTAAAGCTATGAATCATCTATAATAATCATGTTTGGCACTTCGTTAAACGTGAACGTACATGTTAAATTTAAATGTTTAAATTGTTTTACTTTCACACCTCCAAGTGAAATAAACATAATTCTCCCATTTAGAAACTGTCTACTGTAATTATTATTATGCTAATAGCAACAAAACATTCATTGTTGCTCAGTATGTTGCACCTTGATTCCTCCGAGGCAAAGCCAATGAGACTATCTATCACAGCTATGGCGACCTCTCAGTGACGATTCAAAGGAATGGGGTCATATTTGAAGATGCACAGAAATGCTTACTTCCCAAAATCAACAGATGTATTTTAACCAATTGTAAACTTTAATGAAATTATCCTGTAACTTAATAGATTCGGATTTCATCACAAAATTGACATTGACACCAACATGTTCTGTATAATTGTACTGAAGCAACAGGCCTTTACCTCACTTCTCTGACCTTTACAAAGCTATTGAAGGAATCACTAGACCTGTATAATCACTAATGAACTCTCTCTGGCCTACATAGCTACTGAGGGAACACTCCCTGATCCATAACTTTCCCTGGCCTACATAGCGACTGATGGAACTATCTCTGACCTACATAGCTACTGAGGGAACTCTCCCTAACCTATAACTCTCTCTGTCCTACATAGCTACTGAGGGAACTCTCTCTGACCTACATAGCTACTGAGGGAACTCTCTCTGACCTACATAGCTACTGAGGGAACTTTCTCTGATCTATAACTCTCTCTGGCCTACATAACTACTGATGGAACTCTCTCTGGCCTACATAGCTACTGATGGTACTCTCTCTGGCCTACATAGCTACTGATCTAATGGAACTCTCTCTGACCTACATAGCTACTGAAGATTGAACTCTCTCTGTGCTACATGGCTACTGAAGGAACCTTCTCTGACATAGCTACTGAACTCGACTAAAATAGCTAGTGAAGGAACCTTCTGACCTACAGGACAACTGAGGGCCCCTTGACCTAGAAGGTTACAGAATAAACCTCTGGCCAACATAGATACATGTCAAATAAAGCATCCCCACCTCATCTCTCTCACTGATCTAAGTACCTACCGGAGGAACCATTTCTGATCCTGATCTTTTTTGCCATTGCAGGAACATTTTCTGACCAAGGTTTCTAAAACATACGAAAATCTATACGTTTTCCTAACGTATCATAATGATATAGAAGAAATGTAAAAGATACACATGTATACAATCAGTGGAGAGTATGGTAGACGAGCTATTATATATAAATCTATGAAAAGGTGAACACAAACAAAAACAAACATGGTGGATCTGGTGCTAGTCTTAAACAGACGTAGGTCATTGGTTCAGAATAACATGTCAGGCCAGAAACAAAACGCTCAATATGAATAACAAATAATATCAAAGTACGATAATATAACATGATAATACACACCAAAGAAACATTTTAACTATTTTAACTCGTCTAATAGTACACCATCTTATTTAGCTTTAGTCCAGTGCTTAGCAAGTGATTGTCGCAGTGGAGCACGAATTGAAAAAGAAACATATATGACGTTTGTTAATAATATGTTACTGGAAAGAGGGACAATAGATCACATATTATTTCCATCCATGGATATCCTTTTAACAACATACAATAATTCCATCATTTGCCCTATCTGAATTATAAAAAAATAGTTTAAACTGTATTCGTGTCTACCAATGTGTAACAGTATCCTCTGAAATGTGCATTTTATCTTACTTACAAGGGAAAATTGAAAAAGACCAATTTACAGATTACATACAGGAGTGTAAAGAATCTGTTGGACTACGATCTGGCCTACTGTCTACTATTGGCAAATACATATGGTTATGTAGGTTTCTACGTTTTCTAACATTAAGTTTAATACACAGATCATCTTAATCAAAATCTCGTAAATAAGGTCAAAGGGCAACAATGTTTCTGAGAAAGTTATGTAGGTTGTAGACGGTCGAAGAAATTAAGACAAACAATAGGTTTTTGCAATTCGCCTTGCAATACAAAATTAAGCAGAAGACAAACATTGATATTCATTTCAATTTTTCATTTTTCACACATACGACATATTCATATCGAATGAAGTTTTGACTATTGAGTCGTCATTATTTTGTGAATAGTTTTATGTCAATGTCTTTAAGTATCAATGTTCGTTCATGGTAAAATAATTCAGAACGTAGTATTCATTACGCTGGATACATTTTGTGACATTCTTTGATTCAAAAAGGAATTAACACTACAGACAACAAAATATCCACTGGCGGTACCACTGAACACAGGGCTAAAAGTTCAAACTTAAAAGGTCAAATACAACCATCACCAGTCTCAAACATTTACAACATTCTAATTCATGTATTTTACAAGATTCTGAACAGGTGCTCTTTTTTCATGGAGTCCCATTTCCTCTTCAATAGATAACTCTTCTGATATTGTCCAAATCCTTGCTTCAGAACAAGAAGCTCACGCATCTCCTTACCGGTAAAAATAAAAAAAGAAGAAGAAAGTGTGATGGGGCATCTGGATCAGTTGTACACACAACTATAACATGCAAAACTAAATGTGAAGAATATTCACTTCGTGTGGTACGTATTAAGAGTAAGAGGTAATAAATAATATTCTTAGAGTCTAAATTGCAAAAACCAAATCCAAATGACATTCATAATATTAGAATTTAAGTGATGATGACATGACCTTTGTCAGATAGAAAATCAAAATGTTTAACAAGCTTTGCTCAATGAATTTAGATCCATAAGTTTACCTCATTATAGAAATGATGAATAGATTCGTATGTGGCATTCCTTTCTCGCATGTTCTGAATATAGAAATTGCTCGTAAAATAGGAATTTTCTAAGTAAGATTGTAAGTATGGCTTATAGTAATATTTGAATTCGTTCTATCTGCATGTAATTTGAAATCTGTCAGGTCATTACTCCTCAACTACAAAAAGCATACTTATAATAATTATACCAAGAGTAGCATGAAATGGCAAAAACTAATTTCTTTAAAGGTATTAATAAGATGAAAATATCTAATATATTGGGATGTTTTATTCTATAACTAAAGTGATAGTTAACGTGTTATAGTGTTAGTAAAATTAAAAAAAATATGGATGCTTTCAGTCTTTCCAATACAAAAAATAAAAGTTTAGAAAAACTCTTTACATTTCCTTTAACATCATTCAAGCGATATCCCCAATGAGAAAAGCAAGAAAACCAACTAGATAAGAGTTTAGATGAGATATAGATGAGGTTTGTAGACTACCGGTCGGTGCCTCTACTAGTAACCTGAGTAAATTAATACATGTACACTGTATGTACTTTTATCTTATTAAAATTATCTGGATTCAACGCGGTAAGAGCGTTGCTGAAATGCTGAATTTTGATACAGGATAAACGTTTATAATAAAGACGTACTTACCATTTTGGAAATTAAATTAAGCCTATTCTACACAAATTAAACAAATTATCTTCACTTCCAAAACCTTTCAATTCACTCCAAACCGGTGATAACACTTTAGCTATAGAGCGACTAATTATATTCCCAATGCGCAGAATCAGAACGCGATACCAACAGACACACGATATGAACTGTAGACTTGCAGGCAGACGAGATCTGCAGAACCCATTTAAGGTTCTTTATCACGTGATCAGGGCGAATGCAATAGAAGTTTTAAGAAGCAAAATATTTTAAGAACTCGGGGAAGAACGACGGCCATGTTAAATGTGTGTGTAATCGGAAAATTATGTAATTCTCCGATGTATTAATACAAGATGGCAGTAATATAATAAAATTGGTGCCATATTGTAGCATAATTGAAGAAATATAAGATGGTGAACATGTTACTATAATTAGCCTCCCTCAGGAGAGGTCTGATTGTAAATATAGGTAGTAGATTACAATGGTCTGATGGTCACCTGGATCTTATACGTAATAACCCAGTTCGTTTGCCGGGCTGAATCATAGTCCAGTCAAAATAGAACTTTACGATGCTTTTCAGAAGAGTACAACTGCTTTAAATACAATCATACATACATAAAATTCAAAAGTGGAAGAGTCTTTTAATTATCATATTCTGACCCAGGTAGAAAATGGCTAATTAAAAGTTGCTTTATTACATAGACACCCAGCAAAGTTCTCTGTGGAAACACTCCGCTGCTCTGTTGAGTTTAAGAAAAAACAGACACAATCGGAAACACCCACTTTTTGGAAAGTCTTCTCAATAGGTTGGTAGATGACACGTTACGTTCGCTTCCAGCGGATGCTGATATCATAAACTAGGTACTTGTTGGTATTCGTAGTAGTTGGTAGTTGGATTGGTTCAAATTGGATGATTTTGTGTTGTTGGTTTGGTTGTTGATACTTCGTTAGATCTGGTCGGGTCGAATGACATTGTTCATGTCAATATGTAGGGCATCAAATAAATACAGTGAATCCTGCTCATGCGACCACCTTTACTAAACATCCACAATAAAGTCTCCCCTACAACTTTTCAATATAATTAACGACTAAAAAGCTACCACCTTCATTACGCGACCAAAAACCATGTATTTACACTGCCGTGTAAGCAAAATGAATTAATTAAGCAACCATAACGGTTGTCATGATCTCCCTTGTTTAAATATCACATGGTTTCACATACAGGTGAGATTAAGAGAGAGTATTGCTTATTGGCAATTTGCTCACAAGATTAATTCAATTATTACTTACTTATATCAGTCTAAAGATATAAAATGGGCATCAAAACAAAATAATTTTGGTGTTTATTCTGAAACTATTCTCTTCTAAGAGTCATTTTCATTAAGAGACCGCTTTGGATTATTCCGTTAAGTTATCTTAATACAGGTTTCTACTGTTTCCTGTTTTTCTGTTTTAATATCCTGAAATTCCGAGACGACCCTGAAAACATTGGCTCTGCACAAGACTTATGGATTTCCTTTTCAAAAAACTAGACTTTACATCTTATTCAGCCATTGTGCTCTAAACCATGTGATAATAACTTGCCTTTTTACAGTAGAATCTTATACAGGAAACATTCATTCTATGACGTAAACAGATTTTAAGAAGAGGAAAAATGTTTCTAGTTCAAGGGAGGTAACACTATAAAAATACATTAAGACACACTCCGGTAATTCATTACCATCTGTCTCTTGTAATTTGAGAGTAAGTTAAATCTTACAATTCAACCTTCTATAACTTTTTCCAGAAATCTCGTTGAAAACTGTCCAATATGTCACATAGCCAATGCTTAATTTCTTGAAAAAATTCAATATATCATGACCATGAAAATCTTGAACTAGAACTAGCGAAACTGAAAGTAGATCATTTTATTAACATCCAAATACCAAAAATAAGTCCAAATTAGGCATGAAAAAAGGGAGGGAGAAAAAGGATTTCTAAAAATAGCACGTATACAGTCGTTAGCATCAAATGTTTTAACATTCAAACGTTACAAAATCTCGACCTTATATCCATAATTCACTTATACGAATGTAGTCCGTCGTATTTTTTTATATCTCCTTCTCTCCCCTTTTTTTCGTTTTTACATGCGTATTTTTAGTCTAAATTGGGATTTATATGTCTGAAATTTTCATTTCTTTCAGATTTTGGTAAATAAAATAAAATTTTGATGCAGAAGAATTAGTGTGAAACAGTAGTTTCCTGTAATATTATATTTATATCAGGCAGTGGTCTACTACTTTGCTTAACTCAAAATTTTCAGCTTTCATGTGACATATTGGGAAGTTTTCAATGAAATTTCCGGAGAAAGTTATCAAAGATTGAATTTCGCGATTTAACATGGAAACAGGTGGAAAATGAATTAGTGGAGTGAGTCCATTATCATACTGAAATAATATACTAAATACATTATCCAGAAGAAGATTGTAAAGGTTGGTAAGAGTGGGCCAATTTCCGTACAATAACCAGCTAGCTGATGCCAGGTGCAACGAACACTTACGCCTATACCCGAATGATGGTGTAATATATATGAGGTTAGAAGGGTCAGCAAAGCGCAGGATCTGATGTCCCTTGAAATATAAAATTTGTTTAAAGGGAGGTAAATCACTTAAATCTCACAATATTGGAAAAAGAGAAAACATTCTGATACAGATACAGTTACTTGTAAAAGTTTTGATTTACATTCGACATTCGTTCAAAATGGTGTTTCGTTCTACGGTTCGGATCGTTAGTTTCTTGGGATTTTATTATTTGTCGAAATCTAACTCCAGAGAAAAATCACACGAACTTTCAAAATATTAGGAACTTATGAATTAATGTTTTCGGTTGAAATGTAGGCAATTATTTGCGCAAATTCAATAATTTCATACCGCGATATGAGTTTGTAATATAACAATACTTTTAATTTACCAAGTATTTATTGCTCTCAACAATTGTCAGTAACATTCAGTAGTGTAGGCTATTTAAGGGGTGGTCATTAGGCCATGGCCCTCCCCTCACTCCTGTGGAAGGTCTGATTTTGAAATAAAAATTTTGCCATCTAAATGCTCAAAAAGGCAGTTGGCTTCGGCGGGCCTCTGCCCTCTGGCCTCGACGGACTTCGGCCTTAAGAGAAACTTCGTCTCGGAGAAACATCTGACTTTGAATTTTTGATAACGGAGAAAACTCACGTACTGCCTGAATTCCTCTATTGATAATATCCCATCAAACTATAAATATCTATCTATAACGGCATTTATTTTACAATGATTTGGTCCAATATGGCGACATAATATAAGTATCAACTTTATCTATTAAATCCGCATCATGTTGCAAATAATAAAATTGTTTATACGTCCAAATACGCTCACTTTGGCTTGTGGTAGCTGCAACGATTAACTTTTGAAAGTTTCCGGCCATCCTCAATTCATCCCCCAGCCCTCTCCGGTCCCCATTAGAATCGTTATTGGATATTTCTATCTATGAAAAAGGAGCATTAATACTTTTCTACATGCGAGATTACAAGGTTAATATCCAGAAAGATCTGAAATTGGAACTTGATCTTCATTTTATGATTATGTACGAAGTTTCAACAAAATCATTTAAAAAATAGTGAGCATGAACGAGCTTTAATGTGAACGAACGATCCTTTGAAATGATTGACCGACGAACATGAGTGTCGGCATTATACTTCAACATACATACATAATAACAATCTATCGTTATATCTAACACCCAGTATCATGAAAAAAGGCATAAAGTCTAGAATTCAATATTTTACTATCCAACTGTTGGTTGAAATTCGATCATTTAATGTCGAATTCAACCCTCCCAAATCTGTATAAATACAACCAGAAATTCTGATTTGGACATTGCTTTATGAAGATAAGAGTTGAGAAGCTTCTACAATTTAGCAGTTTAAAACTCTACGCTTCGTTGATCAAGTATTAGTTTGTGTATTTCTGCTGATCCTGGTTAGTGTAGCGGATGGTTCCTGTACCAGTTCTCAAAGATCAGGTCAAGTTTCGGGCCTTGCTGGAAAATTTATGATGGGCTTATTAAGACGATATTGTTCTGGCTTAGCTGTTAGTGATCCTTCTGCCGATTCACCAGGTAAATTGACTTTTTCTGAAAATAAATCAGCATTCATTCGGGCCATCTCTTTATAATGGTACCATAAAAGAAGAATCAGAGATGTGTTTAACACCATGGGTGACATCGATTGAACCTCTGTGGTCGAGCTAGAGTTGATGGACAAATGACGTAATTATCTTGCCAAGTGAGGGTCGCAATCGAATTTGATCGAGTTAGGGCATTGGCCATATATAGACATTCCATGCTACCATGTTAACTCGTTTTTGACTCTCTAAATAGTGTCGGACCCGAGCTTCTAACTAGGTCAAAAATTACGTCACACAAGTCTCAACTCGAGTCTCACACGAGTCTTAGCCGGGCTCCAATCGAAGTCACCCCATTATGTTAAAACCTTGTTGAGGTAGTAAAAACATCGCAGAGTGTCATAAGATTTAGATTAGTAATAAACAATAACCTTGCTTAAAACATCAATCCAAATAATTTGTGTTTTTGTGGAATCGTAGGAGAATATGGCGTTTGGTTTAAAGGGACAGTTGCGCCGTTTTTTTTATCCGATCGTACCTTTTTCACAGAAACTAGAATTCTAATCTAATCAGTAATAGTGCTCACAGTTCACCGTTGACATTTGTGTCTTGAAATCCAGAATATTCCAAATTAACCATCAAAAATGGCGAACTTTTCCCTTTAAACTTTATAAAATGCTCTGGATAGTTGGATAGTTGGTAAGTGAATAATTAGAGTGTATCCTTAAAAACTTACTTATCCTTCATTTTTCTTCTTTCTTTATTATTTTAAGAATTATCCAACATTTCTTGGTTGTTTTCAGTTGTAACGGAAAGTGACGCCAAATACTGAAGCACTAGCACCCACTATACCAACAAAATTAACTACTAGTTTTCCCATCGTAATAATAGAGTTGGTTCATTAATAAAGAATATGCTGTCAGCAATATACGAGGTTTT